AGTCAGGGGGCGGGCCCGCGCCTGCTACAAAGCGCGGCGAAGGTCACGGCGCAGGAGGTCCGCCCGTCGCCGGGGCCGCCTCACCCGGCCGCCATCCCGCGTGGGAGCCATGGAGGGAGTGAGCGCGCTGCTGGCCGGCTGCCCTACTGCCGGCCTGGCCGGCGGTCTAGGGGTCACGGCGTGCGCCGCAGCCGGCGTGCTGCTCTACCGGATCGCGCGGAGGTGAGTGCGGGCCCGCGCCGCCGACGTCCGGAGGCCCACGCGGCCGCCCCACCCGCTCTCCTGGGCCTGTCGCCGGTAGTCCGCTGGCCGCGCTCTGCCTCGGCCCTGCGGCCCCACGCGTGGTGGGTGCCCTGCCGGCGGCCTCTGCGCGCCGCCCACCGACTAGGGCCGCAGAGATGCCTCCTTCCCCGGGGTCCCGCGAAGGCCGCGGGTCGCGATGGGGAGCCGGCCTGTTGGCTGACAAGCGGAGACGCAGTCTGCACGCCCACCTCTTCAAAAAAAGTCCGAGTTCGGGTTCTTTGTTCGGGAAGCGGCTGAGGAGTGTGGTTTGGGGTCAGGGGGATCTCAGTGGGCACGGGGACTCCAGGAATGTGGGGTGCAGGCAAGAGCACTCACGGAGCTCCCATGCAGGGTCCTCAGCCCCTCCCACACACACCCAGGCCACCCAGACTGCAGAATAATCAAGCGGTTGATAGAAGGCAGATGCGCGCCTCTGTTCCCTGTCTGTGGCCCTGGTCCCCGGGGCAGCACGCTGGGATGGTGTTGAGAACTGCGTCTCCTATCTATCTGCATACAAATTCCCGGGCATTGTTCTAAAGTCCTCCTGTTAGCCCATTTCAGAGCCCCAGCCCCTCCTCCCCAGAGAGACACTGAGGGAGGGAGGGGTTAAATAAATGGTTAAGCAGAAAAGCCACGATTTGGACTGAACAATCTGGCTCTGGAGCCTGCATCCCTAACGCTGGGCTACACTGCCCCCAAGATCCTGCCTCAGATACTTAAGGGGTCTTTAAAAGGGGACTGGGCTAGTTCAATGGCAGCCCCCAGCCCTGGCTGGATGGCACCCAGGGATCATGCTGACCCTCCTGCTTCAGTAGGGCCTCAGGAAGAGGGGACTGTTTGCCCAGCTTCCCAGGGAGCGGGGAGAAAAGGCAGGGCCTTGAGAACATTCTAGGGGCAGAATGGGTGGGTTTGCAGCTTCATCAAGGGACGCCAAAGGGGTGCTCAGATCTTTGGTGAAATTGAAAGGACTTGCCCAGGGTCACTCAGCAGCAAGTGGTGGAGCTGGGATTTGAACCCAGGCTGTCTGGCTGGTTAGTGTGTTCTTCATAACCACTGCCATGTAGTGCTTCTCGCGTCAGAAAGGGGAAACAAGTGAGAGTTGTTGAGTCACAGGCTTCTTGGAGGAGGAAGGGGTAGGAGGGACTTGAGCTGGCCCTGGAGGATGAGCCAGACTTGCAGGCTAAGGGGAGAGGTGGGATGGCTGGGGATTTCGTGGATAGACCACGGGCAGCTAGGGATTGAGGGAGCTCTCCCCAACCCCTCAAGGACCTCTGAGAACCAAGTCTCTACATGTACCAGTTCCTGCTCAGTTTCTAGAAGTTGAGTGGTCCATGCTGGACGCTTCATCCATGAGTACACTAAGGTCCGAAGCACAGGGTGCTCAGATCCAGAGTGTTTCTCCTGGAAAATGCTGCCTCAGTTCGCCCAGGCTGGGGAAGTGGTCCCAAGGGTCAGAGCCTGGACAAGGCAGGGAGCAGGCATGGCTCTGCATCATCCCCAAACTTCCCAACATCTCATGTGTTGCCGCGTGGCTAGGTTTGGACTGGGTTCGCTCACTGCACCTTGCACTTTGGTGCCTTCTGCAGTGGCTGGTCTCAGGTCCTGTTTCCCCTTCCCAGACCCTCTGGCTAGCTTTCCCTTTTGGAGTCAGGAATCTGGTGCCTCGGTGAAGTGTTGGGGAGCTGTGTACAGGGGACATGGTTGGATGTGTCAGAGCCATGGTGTGGCGTTGCACTGGTGCTGTTGGTTGTGGTTTGGAAGGACCAGTCTTCCCAGGATGCCCAGGGATGTCTGCACAGAGCACTGGGTTTGTCCAGAGGTCATAGATTCAGAAACAAGACCAGCCCTGCAGCCTGCGCCTCCTCCCTCCAGGAAGGCAGCAGGCCAGGGGGATGCCAGGACGGTGGTGAAGCTGGCTTTGGCGACAGCTCATATTTTGAGTGGCCCTTGGGAGGGTACATAGGAGAGTTGTTTTGGGAAGGCAGCTTGGCAGGTGGGAGTTTGCAGACTCAGCACAGGGATCGTGGTGGACATGGGGCATGGCCCTGTGGCTGGACATGGAAGGAGAGGCTGCCTGGTGCACCATGGGTCCGTCCCACTGCCCTCTGCTCAGATGACGAAGGGTGGACATGAGAGGTCACTTTTTAGAAGGGCATCCACCCTCCCAGATCCTCCATCAGGGCAGACCCCAGCTTCCTGCCCGTGGAGCCCTCATCTGCACTGCTGTTAATGTGGTAGCAGCCAGTGTTTCCATGCTGGTGACATACCAGACACTGCGAAACCCTGTACACAGCCCCCTCGAGAACCCTGGCAGCAACCCCACAGGGGCAAGGGCTGCTGCTCTCCCTGCTTGACAGAGTAGAGAGGTCAAGCCACTTGCCGGTTACCACCAGCTCTCCCCGACTCCAGCTCTGAACTAGGTGCCACGTCTGGGTCCTCACTGAGAACTTAGGCCTCTTGTCGGCCACACAGGTGGCCACCCCTGGCAGCACAGTCTCAGGACTGGAAGCGAAGTCCTCTTTTTACACTCCCCACCCAACCAGGCTTGCTCACCCTGTGTCCACGTGGTCATGGCGGCCCTTAGCTTCTTATGCCCATCCTACCCCAAACTCCCCAACTCCACTCTCCCGATCAAGTGTGACCTTGTACCTATCTTGTGAGAGCTGCAGGGGCTGCTGTGTTTGCTGGGATTGTCCACTTTCCAGTGTCCCAGCCTAAGTGCCTGAGCTCCGTCTGGCTTTCAGAGTCCACTGACGCCCCGCTGTGCCCAGGCTCAGTGCCCCTGTGCACCACGCCCCAGCTAAGCAGCACCGCTCCCTGGATGCATGCTGTGTGGTCCCTCCCTGAGCCTTCACCCACAGCCCCGTCTGCCTGAGGGCTGTCTCCTGGTTTCACCCCATTGGCAAGCTCACCACTCTCTAGGGCCACAGCAAATGTGCCGTCTGTTGGCCCCTCTCCAGTGGCATTTGCCACCGTCTGTCCTGTGAGGTTGACATCCTTGTCCCTGTGTCACGTTCAGAAGTGGACAGGGCCTTGCTCATCTTTGCATCTCTGCAGCCTAGCAGTTGGACTGGGGTGACTGGGGGTGTGCCCCCTGCCCCAGGCCAGGGTCTGCCCCCAGAGAGGTGGGTTTGGGGCTTCTGTCCTGGTGTCAGAAGGTCTGCTGTGGACTCGTGTGTTTTGCTCTGAGGGGGTCAGCTGCGGCAGGAGGAGGCCCGTTACGTCTTGTGTGCCCAGCTGTGTTTTGATGGCCAGTCGCTGCAGCCCAGGCTGGACGGGACAACATGCTTGTGATGCTGCAGGGAGGTCAGTGTGGCAGGTGTGGGCACAGCAGGAGAATGGCCTCCTCAGAATCCCACCCAAGGCCCAGAGGAGCAGGTGCAGACCCAGTCCTTGTGAGGCTGTCGCAGGATGTCCTCTTGGGGCTGACTGCTGATACCCTGGGCTGCTGGGGGAGCAAGGCCTGGCTCAGAGAGATGCCCACTGGGGCCAGCACACAGTGGCCAGGGCCCTTGTGGTGGGGAGGGGGGCTGGGCCTCCCTGGAGGGGGCCTGCCCTTCTCAAGGCCTGGAGACTGGTTCACATAGGCCACGCCTGGGCAGTTCTGCACTCCACGGTCGAGACTGCCCTGTCCCAGGTCTCCTCACAGCAGGTGTATGACCCTGGCAGGTTCTTAGACACAGGACCTGCAGCCGCAGGCCTCAGGAGTGGTGGGCTCACTCCTAGAACAGACTCCCCACCCGCAAGTGTTGATGACGACATCATTGTTAAGGGCGTACGTTCTTCTCACGTTCACGCTTTTTTGCAGTGTGTTTTTGGGCTGGTGGAGAGGCGGCCCAGAGCATGCAGCTCCCTCTGGTGCCCAGGACCCAGTAGAGCCCAAGAGCCTCTGCGTCCAGGTGGTAGCAGCCCATGTGAGTGGCCTTAGGCCTGCCACCCACTAGGGCCCCACCCTGTCTTCTGAGGTGGCTAGACAGGGATGGGACTTAGGGGCCTTGGAGCCCTGCGACTGGGCTCTGAGCTGCCCAGAGCTCAGACTGGGTGCCCAGTAGGAGGGAGAAAGGCCTCTTTCTATGTTTCAGGCTTTCTTACCTGTGTGGCAAGGACATTCTGTCTTGTCACCTCAAACCTGGCCACACTGAGAGAGGTTTGTCCCAGAGCCAGGTTGGGGCTGAGGTTGTGACTTGGGGGAGAGATGTGGGTTAAAGGGTTCCTGGGGGGAGCAATTCCTTGAGCAAAACCAGTACTGTGCTAAGCCTGGCGCTAGGATGGATGGGAGACTGGTGCGTGGGAGAGCCAAGACTGGCCTGGCAGGCCAACTCCCCATCCCCTGCTCACCCCAGGGACCACAAACGATGATTCCTGGCATTCAGACCCCACCTGGCACTGGGCAGGTGGGGTGGGTGACCAGGAGAGAGGCCCCTAGCCCTGGCAGGGATTACCATGGGCTGATCACCACCCCCCCCTTCCCTTTCATCACCAGCTTCCTGCCCAGGCTCAGTCTGAGACTGGAACCATTTCCCTGGCAACGGAGCTGGAGATTCAGAGAAGGGACGATGGCTCCCGAGGAAGGCTTGGGGCAGGCTCCCTGAGCCAAAGCTGCAGCCCTGTGCACGCGTCATTGGTCCCAGGCCAGCGTCTCTCCCCTCCCTGTGTCTCTATCTGTCGGCCACCAGTGCTACACTCTTCTGCTTGGTTTCTCAGGCAGGTGGGGTGCAGTAGGGTCTGGGGCAGCTGCAGATGGGGTTAAAAGGGCTTGGGGCCCTTGGTGAGGATGGAGGGGCTCATCACGCTGCCCCAGGCATGGGGCTGCAAGGTTGAGGGAACACAGGGGGAACGAGTGGCTCCAAGGCCTGTGTCACTACTGCAGGACATGCTGCCACAGTCACAAAGAAGCCTATAAAGGAGGTACAGATTAACAGAATGTGTGCTGGGAGCCTCATTGCCCTGGACACCAAAAGCCAAATCCTGTTGAGGCCAGTGTCCTGGCAGGGCAGGTGTCTACCCCTCAGCCGTGGCTGGCACCTCCTCCCGTTACTGCCCATGTGGTGGAGGCTGCCACCAGGCTAAGCATTGTCCTGAATTCTCTCGTGAGCCCTGTGCTGCGTGGCTTCCTGCTGCTGACCAGACATGGCTGCCCCTTGCTCTTCTTTCTGAGGGCTTTGGCCTCTGCTAGAGCAGTTGGTGCTGGAGTAGGGGGGTGAGAGGGGAGTATGGGCTGGGGCTGCGAGGGGTGTCCAAGTCCCCTCTGAGGACCTGGTTTCATCTCCTCTTTCCCCCCCCAGTAACTCCTGTTTATTGGGCACTCACTGTAGGGTGGCACAAATGGTTAAGCGGCTCAACTACTAACCAAAGGTTGGCAGTTCGAACCCTCCCAGAGGTGCCTTGGAAGACACGCCTGGTGATCTGCTTCTGAAAGGTCACAGCCTTGAAAGCCCTATGGAGCAGTTCTACTCTGTACGCATGCAGTCACCGTAAGTCGAAATCGACTCGATGGCAACTAACAGCAGCAATGTTGTAGGCCATGCCCTGTCACAGCCTGTCACACAACCCCACTTGACAGGTGATAAGACTGAGGCCCAAGAACTTGAGGAATCCTCCATAATTGGCAGGCAGGAGTGGAGGGACAAGGCTAGGCAGTGGCTGCTGGTATCAGGAACCAGCCTTCCTCCCAGGCCAGGATGGGGACAGGGTCGTGACAGCACTGGTCCTCTGTCTTTGGAGCACCTGCCTGTGCCTGTGTCACTGGGTCCTTGTAACACTCTAATCGAGGGTGCTGTGATCGCTCCCACTTCACTGACACGGCACCAAGGCCTGGGGAGGGTGAGGGACTTCCTGTGTCCACTTCTAGAAGCAGGGAAGGTGGGGGCAGGACGGGGATTCTGACAGCCGTGCCGTCGGGCCCCGTGGGCAGCAGGGCCATCCGGTGTGGCTCCCCCGCCAGCAGGACCCAGACAAGGCAGTTCCCCCAGAGCTCAGGTGGCCAGTGGGGCAGAAGTGTGCAGCCCAGACGCTGCGGTTCAAGCAGCTGCTGCCGTTGCCCACATTGTTTCTAGATTCCTGGGGCGGAGCTGTTTGCTGGGTAGTTGCTGCACCCCCTCACCATGTCCTGCGGCAGACAGATCCCCCAGTGTCTGGGCTGGGATTATCCCACAGGCTCCACCTGTCACCACACTTGTGGCCAGTGAGGCCCGCGTCCCGTCACCAAGGAGGGCTGAGGGCTGGCCCCAGGCTGAGCAGCTGGCCCTGACCCCACCCCTGGGCCTCCAGGGGACTGTCTTTCTGTGAGCACAGCAGGCCTTCTTCAGTCTGGGAAGCTCCCAGCAGCACCGTTTCTGCAGCCTGGGAACCTGGGGGGAGGGCATTCCTGAAGCCTGTTGAGTCAGCCCTGTGACCTGGCCAGCCCTGGCCCTGTTGCCCCCTATGTCTGAGCTCCAGGACTGCGGGGGCTGGTGGCTGTGGGTCCACGCGTGGACACGCTGGAGCCCAGGGAGCTGGTGAGTCGGCGGCTGCCTGCCGGGGGGTGGTGCTTTGCTGCAGGGGATAAAGAGAAGTCCAAGTCGTGCGTGTCCTTGTTCCGTCCTGCGCAGACACAGCATTATCCGGTCCAAGTGCGGGTCCTGGTTGGGGCCCCCCAGACCCTGCTTCTGTCCCCCTGGTGGCCTGGGGCGGGACGGGGCTCAGGTTGGCCATTCTGCAGGTGTAAGGGCAAGGCCTGATGGGGGATGTGGCTGACCCCACTTTTCCCTTTGTCCACAGGAAGCCAACCCACACCATTGTCAACTGCTGGTTCTGCAACCAGGACACGGTGGTGCCCTATGGGAACCGCAACTGCTGGGACTGCCCTCATTGCGAGCAGTACAACGGCTTCCAGGAGGTGCGGTGCTTTGCGCAGGGCAGGGATGGGACCTTGAGACTGCACGGCTCTGTGCCGGCTCCTGGGGCCTGCCCCTGTGCTCCTCCCTTATCTGAGCATGAGGAACAGGTTCAGGGAACTGAGGTGGCTTGTCCAAAGTAACACTACTAGAAAGTGGTGGACTCGGGTTTCGAAGCCAGGTCTCTCTGGCTCTTAGGCCCATTCTCTTTGCTCTGCACTAGACCAGGGGTCAGCAAACATTTTCTGTAAAGGACCAGATAGTAAATATCTTAAGCTTCAAGTGCTGTACGGTCTCTGTCTGGTTACAACATAGACAATACAAAAAAGCAAGTGAGCGAGGCTGTGTGCCAATAAAGCTTTATTTTTAAAGAAAGGTGGCCAGCCAGCAGGCTGTAGGTTGCCAGCCCATGTGTTAGACAGCAGATTGCAGACTAAGCTCCGCAGAGCTGTAAGCATCTGAGAACCAGGCCAGGTGGACGAGTCCAGGCCTCACCTGTGCTCCAGGCTAGAGGGCTTTTCTCAGCGTTTTGCCTGTGGGGGTTCCATGTGAAATTACTTTAGAAGGATAGCTTTTGCTGTTGCGTAGAAGGAAGAGAAGACTGGAAATGTTTGAGAGCCACCACCACTACCCCAGGGCCTCCCCACACAGGTCCTCTGCTCTGGGGTCCCCTGACTGACTTGGGTCTTGTCCCCCCAGAACGGCGACTACAATAAACCAATCCCCGCCCAGTACCTGGAGCACCTGAACCATGTGGTGAGCAGCACGCCCAGCCCCCGCGACCTCACACAGCCCCAGCAGTGGGTTAGCAGCCAGGTCCTGCTGTGCAAGCGGTGCAGTCACCACCAGACCACCAAGATCAAGCAGCTGGCCGCCTTCGCCCCGCGTGAGGAGGTGAGGGTGCCGGGCCGGTGTGGGGATGCCAGGCTGGGGGACATGGGCAGGGCGCTGGCCTGGTGCCATCTGCGCGCCTACTGCCTCTGCTCTTCCAGACAGTCGCTCCTCTGTCCTGTGTACCAGGCGGGGGGAGGTGCCCTCACCCTGACCCTGTGCTGGTCCCACATTCTGTTTCTTCTCCATCTCCCTGTATCTTGTGGTCACTTCTGTCTGAGTTCCAAGCCTGGGAATACCATGGAAACCACAACTTCTGCCAGTCCAGGTTTTGTCCCTGGTGGAGGGAGACAGGGTCCCTGGGCTCCTGGCAGGTGCCTCCAGAGAGAGTGAGGAATGCCCCCGCTCCCCAATTGAGACCCCGTTGGACCTGTCCTGTCCTCCTCCTTCTGAGTCATCCTTGTCCCTCAGCTGGCCGGGCAGTCAGTCTGGGAGTTGCAGGGAGGAGGATGCTCCTGGCTCCTCAGAGAGAAAGGAAGTTAGAAGTTGCTGGGAGGTTTGACATTAGGAGTTTGCCTAAGCTGGGGGCTTCGCCTCCCCTGAGCCCACAGTGGTGTCCAGGAACTTGTATGTGGCTCATCCCGCCTGCCCAGACTCACCCGGTCCCCGGGGCCTCATGGCCTGAGAGGCCAGATCCCAGCTGAGGCCCAGGGGCCCCCGTGAGCTAGAGCTGGGGCAGGGAAAGGTAGGTCTGCGGGAAGAAGGACGGAACTTGAAGCTTGGCAACCAGGGTGGCCGCTGCTAACAGAAGTTTTGGGGTTCCCATGGAAACGAGAGGGGTGCACTGGGGAGGGCAGGCTGGGACTTGCGTCTTCTGGGCTGTTCCTGAAGCTCGCAGACCCCTTCAGCCCAGAGCCACCAGAGGCTTGCTAGGGCTTTCCAGGTTTGGGCATCAGGAGAGGGGCAGCCCTGCTCCCCTCTGTCACCCACTTTCCTAGAGCTCTCAAGTCCAGGGGAGCCTGAAGCAGTAACCATGTGTCCCCATCTCCTGACCTCCAGCTGCTGCCTCTGGTGACAGAACCTCTTCAGAGCGGCTTCCGTCCCCTGCTGTGCCCCTACTGTCCTGGGCTTCATGCTGGCCCTTCCTCCCTGCTCACTAGGCCAAGGAGTAAGCAGGTCCAGAATAGGGAGACTTGCCCCTGGCCACCCCACTTGTGAGGGCCCGCCGTGGAAGTTAGACGGTCGGCCTAGTCTCTCTCAGCCCCTCCACCCCCCACAAACCCTGAGCCTCTGCCCCTCCCCCTGCAGAGCAGGTACGACGAGGAGATCGAGGTGTACCGACACCACCTGGAGCAGATGTACAAGCTGTGCCGGCCCTGCCAGGCAGCCGTCGAGTACTACATCAAGCACCAGAACCGCCAGCTACGCGCCCTGCTGCTCAGCCACCAGTTCAGACGCCGGGAGGCTGACCAGTCCTGTGTGCAGGTCAGTTACAGGGGTGTCATGGGGGTACACAGAGGTGTCACAGTCCTTGGGTTGGTGCAGAAAACCCCTTCACAGAAGGCCAGACCCTCAGACCGTAGGCCCACTCTTTAGAGTTGAGACCCTTTTCCTTGGGGAAGCAACCTTCTTGGGGGGGAGGGGGGGCGGCTCGTTCCTGTCCCGCCCCCCCAGCCCCTTTGTATCATCAGCCCACTTGGGTGTCCCCAGGAGAGTGGCCACAGCGATGCATTCGTGGTTTGCATATTTCATGTTGCCTGCTGTGTCTGAGCACTTCCCTGTACTGCTGCATTCATTCCTCAAGTGCCCCTACTCTGCACTCTTAGGCCTGTGACTTCCATTTACAGCTGCCGAAACCCAGCTCCGGGAGGCTGAGTAAATGTGCCTAGGACCACTCCCCTAGCATGCAGCGGGATTGTCTGGCTAAAACCTACTATTACCTTTTTTTTTTATTATTATAAAAATCCATTGCCATCGAGTCGATCGTAGCGACCCTATAGGACAAAGTAGAACTGCCCCATAGCGTTTCCAGGGAGTGGCTGGTGGATTCAAACTGCTGACTTTTTGGTTAGTACCCAAGTTCTTAACCGTAGAATATTCTGGTTGTTTTAAAAAGTCAGATATAGTAGCAAGTAGAGTTAGAAGTGAAAACCATCTCACTGCAAAGAAACTGCAGGCCCCACCCCTCTTGCGGCCCCAGCTGTGCCCTGTGACCAGTTGGTCTGTGGTTTCTGACCACATGGCTGCATCTCTGCCACCACAGCACTAATGCGTTTGCACAGCAGAAAAGAAGGCAGAATCCATCTTCTGGGCTTTTTTGGTTCTCTGACTTATAAGACTTCCTTATCTTGGCTACTTAATGCCTTTTTTTGTAAATTTAATTTTTATCAGTGTTATCTGTATATTTTTTGCAATTCCAGTTAACATCACAGTAGGAGTTTTTTGTGACACAATACCTGATAATTTCTTTGGGAGAACAACATTACTGTGATTTCGAAGATTTCTCTAGGGGAGGTTGTAGGGCGGTGCCCTCCCACGCTGTAGCTTTCATGGGGGCTTGGAGGCCCAGAAACGGGGCAGGTCCATGGAACGGGAGGTGAAGTGTAGAATCTAAGCCAAGAACATACGAGAGTTTGGGGCCTGGTAATCTCTGATCGCAAGGAACCGGGTGGCTCTCTCAGCGAATGGTACAGCCTTCGCCAGGCTCCACACCACATCCTGAACCCGCGCCCAGAGAGGGCGGCGGGCGGGTCGGGGGTGGGTGCGTGTGGCCACTGCTGCTGACCGGTCTCCCTTCCTCCCACCTTCCAGAGCTTCTGCTCCACGGCTGTGAAGGCCCCAGTGCAGGTCATCGTGCTCCGTGCTCTCGCCTTCCTAGCCTGCGCCTTCCTGCTGACCACCGCACTCTACAACACAGGCACCCGCTTTGCACCAGGAGCTGCCCTGCCCCCTGCCCTGCCACCTGGCGGTAATGGCTCAGCTGCACCTGACAACGGCACTGCTCTGGGGGGCGAGGGCTGGCGGCAGCTGCTGGGCCTGCTGCCGGAACCTGCGGTGGAGAAGCTGCGGGAGGCCTGGGCCTTCGGGCAGAGCCACCAGACAGGCGTCGTCATGCTCGGCCTGCTCACTTGCCTGCTGGCCATGCTGCTGGCCGGGCGCCTCAGGTGAGTTTGGGGCTGGTGGGCCACACAGGGCCAGAGGGTGGGGGTCTGCCCTCTAGACAACTGTCTCATGACAGTGCTTAGGAAAGGAGGGTGCTCAGGGTGGAGCTGAGAGCCCAGGTATGCTGGCTGAGTCAGTGCATCGGCCCTGGGCAGGATTCAGGTGTAGCTGGAACAAGACACAGTTACTGTTCTCCAGAGGCTGAGGGGCTGGTGGTCGAGACGGGCAAGGCAGCGCCCCTCAGAGACAGCCCCCACTCACCCACTGTGTGTTGGGGCCAAAAGCACCTTATCTGTGAAACTGGGGTGATGATAACCACCTACCTCGGGGCGTTCAGTGGGATGTTTTGGTCGCTTGCTGCCCTTGCCTGAGCAGCAGCAGGCCCGGAACCAAGGGCTGCTTCCACATGATCCCCCTCCTCAAGGTGACTTGAGGAGGTTTCTTTAGCCACATCTCACAGGATACAACTCTGAGGCTGAGGAGAAACACTGTGGCCTGCCCAGAGGCAGGATTCCAAAGCCCATGTTCTCTCTTGGCTCTGAGCAGGGCCAGGCGTATGGGGCTGTGGATGAAGGGGGCAGAAAGGGCTGGCTGGGGAGGGCCTGGTCTGCTCAATGGGCACTCAGACTCTACCGCGCTGTTCCCCGCAGGCTCCGGAGGATCGACGCTTTTGCCTCCTGCCTGTGGGCCCTGCTGCTGGGGCTGCACCTGGCTGAGCAGTACCTGCAGGCTGCCTCACCCAACTGGCTGGACACACTGAAGTTCAGCACCACATCCCTGTGCTGCCTGGTGGGCTTCACGGCAGCCGTGGCCACGAGGAAGGCGACAGGCCCACGGAGGGTCCGGCCCCGAAGGTCAGAGAAGCAGCAGTGACTGCGGGGGGGAGGACAGACAGACGGACAGACCCAGAGCTTTGCCCTTCAGCCCAGAGCCCAGGGCCTCTCTCTCTTCTTTCTTGCCTGCCTCACTCCCACCTCGCCTGGCTTAGAGCCCAGGTCTGACCCAGCCCCAGTACTTCCTTGGTGAGCTAGGCCTGCCCGCTGTCCTTCCTGGCAGCACCAAGTCACTCCTGACCTAAGGCACTCCCTAGGTGCCCTCTAGCTGCTCTTACTGCTGCCACCTCTCTGGCCAAAGACCCTTTAGCTGCCTCCCCTGGGGACAAGCCTGCCTCTGACCTGCAGCTTCCTGCTGCCAGCTCCAGGTCCCCACCCTCACCTCTGCCCCCTCCTGCTTCTGCCACCATTGGCTAAGGGGCGCGGCCCTGGTCTTGACTTCCCTTTCATCTCACCCCATCTCTGAAGCCCTGAGCACAGGCAGGCTGGCAGGGACCAGGGCGAGGCCCCCTCTTGTCTGGTCCATCTCCTTGGTCCTGCTTGTTGCTGGGCCAGCCTTGCTAGAGCCCAGTGGGGCTGGAGGGGCACGTCCTGTCCATCTAGAGCTGCCCCCGGCCCCCTGCCTTCAGACCTTCCTGAGACCGTGTTAGCCCTCAGCCTACTTCCCTGGGAGTCGAGAGTACAGTTCCTGGGTGTGGCTGCCTGCAGGGCAGACCGACGTCGGGAAGTCCCACTTCTCCTCATGACCAGCAAGTGTTCTCTTTACAGCCACACTCTGCTGGGAGTGGTCCCAGGTTGGGGGAGCATTCATAGTCTTTCCCTTCTTCATCAATTAGTTGTCTGGCTCTCCTGTGGCCCAGACAGACAGCACTGGTCACTCACGCCCTGCCATGCCCTTGGGAAGCCCTGACTCTACCCTACCAATTGGTCCTTCTGCACTCCTCCCACCGGGCCAGCCAGGGCTTCCTGGTTCAAGGCGGCCCCTGGCTGCTGGGCCGTGCACCCACCCCCAACTGGGGATGTCCCCAGTTTCTTCCATTCACCCCATATGATGCTTGGAACCAAGGTGTAAGACTTCAGACTGCCTGAGGGATACTCCGGTCCACGATAACACCAGGCTCCTTCTCTCGTCTCTCTGGCCTGCTGCTGTCACCACCCCCCTCTAGTCCCTGGCAGCCAGTCATGAAGGGTGCTGTGGGCACCTGCTCTCCATCTCCACGGCAGGGCAGCTGTAGAACCCAGTCAGCCTCGCTCCTTCCAAGCCCACCACCTCCCCTCCTTGAGTTGGGTGGGTGGGTGGGAAGGGGAACCGGGGACCAACTCAAAGTCGCCGGGGGGCAGGCCTAGGGATGCCATCTTCCAGAGTCAGCCACCCCAGGGGAAGTGTGTGGCCTCGGCCATGTTCCAGGCACAGCCCTGCTACTCGCCAGCTGTGTGGGCTTGCCTAGGCCCCTCCTCTTCCCAGCCTGTTTACCCTCTACAAAGTGAAGGGCACACCCCTCTCCAAGGCCCTTGGAATGCAACCTCAGCAGATCTCTGGCCCCTCCTCCCTTCCCTGCTGTCCCTGCTTCTGTCTTGTTTGGGCCCTGCTGGTGTCAACTCTTCCCAGCTTGGTCCCCTGTCCCTTGTCCCTGTCCCCAGGGTCAGGGCATGGAGCAGTCCCCAGGGTGAAAATTAGGAGATCCTGGTGCCCACTGCATACAGACCCGTAGCATAGCCCTGGGCAGCTAGAGCACGTGACCTCTTGGGGTTCAGTTTCTCCTTCGTTACTTTGGCACCACATGACCAGCTGCTACTCATAAGCTCTGATGAGGATCACATGAACTGGTGTATGTGGGCGCTGTCTGAGAACTGGAACCCCGTCCACATGTAGAGGATGTTCCCTGCCGGGGGCTGCATCCGAGAGGGCCACACAGGAAGGTGGACCACGGCTGTCCCCTCCCTGGTGTGGTGCCCTCTAGTAACCCCAGGCAGGCTGTGCCAGCCTGTCTGCCTCCATGCCTGGAGGGCGCAGGGAGGGCAAGCTCAGCCACAGGGCCGCCAGCCAGCTGGCCTGAGGGGCTGGTTGGTGTGAGCACTCTCACACTCAGCATGCTGGGGTCCTTGGTGCCCTGGTCGCCCCCGCGTGGAGCCCTGCAGAGGGGGCACACGTGGCGTCCAAGACCCACTGTTCCGCGTCTGTTATGGTCAAGGGAAACCCGAGAGGCCGCCCCACCCCATGCAGCCAGATAGCAGCCCACACCCTCCTCAGCATCTGTCCATGTGTGAAGACCCTCTGCTTGAGGAGACCTTAGGTGACTCTCCCTCCCTTACCTGTGACAAGGCCTCCGCCTTGCTGGCCAGCTTGTTTTCTGCTGCCCTCATGTGGAGGGTGGGGTGAAAACCACTGTGGAGAGACCCGAAGGGGGCCGTGTTTTCCCATGGCACGGCTCAGCAGGGAAGAGCCTGGAATCCTGGGCATTGGCCAGAAGCGACTCTGATGGTGCATCTTCCGGGGAGGAAGGAGCCACTTGCCTGTGCCCTGCGCTCCCTGCCCCCAGCCAGGGCCCATCAGAGAGAAAAGGAGGTGGCAGGTATCAGAGTGGGGCCTGTTGGCTCTGCATCCCCTTTCCTGTATCCCAGCATCTGTTCTTGAGGAAACTGATAGTGAGATGCTAATTACTGCTTTGCTTGGCATTGGGTAGAGGCAGGACATCTGTGTGTATGTGTGTATTTAAATTAAATTATTTATAATAACCATAAGCTCTCTTGCTGGCCAGGAGCCCCCTGCTAGGCAGACGTCTTTGCTGCCCTCTAGTATGGAAAGACAGACTGCCTTAGGAGAAGAACCTCTTTAGAGGAAAGGCTCCCAGCCTTTTAAGAGTTTTGTGTGGCTTTTTAAATTATCTATCTGTCCCTTAAAGTTTCCTTACTAGGAGAGTATTCCAACCCCCTTCTGATGTCATTGGCAATGGCGGAGGAAGTGCTGGCTTCCCCGGGACTGTGGCTTGTTACTGGGAATGTGTCACCCCTGGGGATGTCCCTCCCCTCCCCAACGGCTGGGGACAACTGTCAAGAATATCACAGGTCAGGGGTAGGATCATCCAGGTGGTGCACCTGGCTGTCTGCGCCCTCCTGTTCCAGCCCCTGCCCGTGGGCCCTCGTTCCTATGAGTTACCTGAGAAGGCTTCTCCAGTAATTCTGGCCCAGGAACAGACCTCCAGGACTCGTCCTCCTTGAGCCCCCCGCCAGCCCTGGGGCCCCACCCCGCCCCGGGGGGAGCCCGTGTCTCTTCTGACTGTTCTGAGTCTCACTGTCTCTGTGTGTAGTAGATTGTGGAGAATTGTCTAGTACCCTCTAATCACTGTAAACACTGCTCTTGGCCACAGACGCTGGTTTTGATGCCGTGTTTTCAATAAATGCCTCCCAGGCCCGCTTTCTACCGGTTTGGCTTCAGGTGCCATGTCTTTTTTGTTTATTCTTTCGTGTTCCTGTAGAAGTGCTTCCGTGCCCGGGGTGGGGGTAGGGGGTTGGGGTGCAGGCATGTCCACAGGAGTCTGGGCTGGCAGTCAAGTTTGGAGCTGGTGTCCTGGCCCCAGACGGCTCTGGGCCCAGCTCTCTCACCTGCCTTGCTGGGGTCACAATGGCTGCTTAAAACCTTGTCTTCCTTCCACCCTCAACCAGGGCTATTTGGTTGGGGAAGACCAGCTGCCTCCCCTCAGTGTTGGATCAGAGTAGGGCGTGCCTGACCCCTCCCCAGAATCACTGTCTTCTGAGGTGGGTGTGTGAAGATTTGGGTGCTGGGCTCTTTGTCTCTCTCTGAGACCTGGCTCGAGGGTGCAGGGCAGTCGAGGAGGCTTTCACCAAAGGGAACTCCAGGGCCTTTGGAAACTCTTAGGAGCATCCCTTGGGCTCTTTGAACTGGAGTGGGTACCCTCAGGAGTCTATCTTGGGCTTACCCGGCTGCTTCTGCACCAGAGCAGGGTCCTCCAGCAATATGGTCATGATGAGAGCTCATGCTTGGCACTTTACAAGGATCAACTGGTAGAGTGATGTTCCTGTTTAAGTATCCCAGCGAGAGGGGTCAGACCTCCAAGAGCTTTCTCTCCCCTGCCAGTGCCAGCATATCCAGTGACACCAGAGACTGATAGCACATTTGCCAAGTGGATGAGAGACTCGAGTGTTGATCACTGGGGCAGCCCTAGGTGTGAGCAGGATCTGGAAAAAGTGGGAAAGAGCTGGCAAGACTCAGCTTTTCCTGGGGCCAGCTCATGGGGCCCCAGGTGGCCCATCTGAGGCCCAGGCAGCTCTCTCAGAGAGCCTCTTCTCCCACTGAGCCACCACACAGCTCAGTTACTGCTTTAGGCAGGGTACAGTGGCCTCGCCTGTGTGCTGCCTATTAGGGTGGGCACAGGAAGCCCAGCACAGGGTCCTGCTGCCATCTGCTGGGAGGGCCTGGGCATGTGCACATGTATGTGGGCCCCTCTGTCCTCGCTGCTCCTCCGTGACAGACTCCACAGGAGGAGAGGCACCCACTCTCCTACGAAGGCTTGTGTATTGTCGGAGCAACTTGTCCCCAGGCTCCAGCCCACCTTGGCAGCCCCTGCAGGTGCCTGGCAGTGTCTTCCTCCCGGCCACTCTCCAACGCCATGGTGCTGCCCTGCCAAATGACATCGAACTTCTAAAATGGTGACGCAGAATTGTATTTTCTCCTTAGAGGTGGAACCATCCTTAGGTGTCCAGTGGGGGTCAGACAAGCTTGGGAGGAGGGCCAGTGGATAGAGCTTAGGCACATCCAGTCTGTGGCACGTCCTGCCTTGATTTCCCCATGTTCCCCAAACACCAGACCTTGCTTTTGATTCTGAAGTCCAGGTGCTTTGGAAAGCATTAGAAAGGTCAGATAATTCTCCAGCAAGTCAACAGCTGACCCCACACTTTCCCTGTAAAATTTTTAAAGGGCAGGGAGGTGAAAATAGCTCAGGAAATCAGTGGGACTGGAACGGTAGCTTGGCTAGCAATGCCCTGAGCAGTTGGTCATGACGCGCACCAAGGGCCTTAGCCAGCCCCGAGCCTTCAGGAGGGCCCCAGCCAGCCTGCCCGCTTGGCGGCCGATGTCAGTGGGCTCGCTTGTCCCTGGGGACCGAGGTAAGGCTGGGCTCCCCGCCAGATGGCGGACTAATGTATTAACTGCCCCACCTCTCTCTCCCCTCTGTAATCGGTTGCCTTAATCAGAAGCATGGTTGATCTTCTGGCTTGGGGCCCTCAGGTCCTGTTGTGTGATTTGTACTCTTCTCGAGTTAAAGAGACACTGTCACCTTCCGTCTGTCAGGCAGCATTTGCTGGTAGTTGACGGGGCTCCTCTAAGCTTCGAGATTGGTTTGTGGCCTGGCAGTCGGGTCTGTGACAGCCTCTTTCCAGGGGGAGTTCCAAAGCTTGCCACCACCCCTCTGTGCCGCACAGGGCTATAAAGGGAAACTTCCAACGTCCAGGAGCCCTGATAGCACAGTGGTTAAGAGGCTGGCTGCTGACCCAAAGGTCAGCAGTTCAAATCCACCAGCCGCTCCTTGGAAACCCTGTGAGGCAGTTCTACTCTGTCCTATACAGTCGCTATGAGTCGCAATTGACTCGATGGCAACGGTTGGTTGGTTATCAGTCAGAATCGACTTGACGGCAACAGGTTTGGTTTTGGTTTTCCAGCATCTAAGAGCTGGAGACTGCCCTGCACGGGCGGCGCGGCCGTGGGACTCTGAGGAGTCAGGCCCTAGGGAGTAGAGGATGTCTAGGTTGCCGTCTGGCTTCAAGAACTCCTGCTGCAGCCTTGCTCCCCCTGGTCCGAGCCCAGCTGCTCTGTAGGGAGCTGAGGCCAGTGGAGGCTCTAGGCACGGAACAGGAAGTGCCAAGGAAGTAGCCAAGCCCATTAACCTTGATGGAATGCCTGGCTCAGGGCTGGGTGTTTTCACCTCAAGGAGAAGGGATGACGTGAGGTTAGCAAGGGCGACAGTGTCACTTTAATAGCGAGACTCGTAGTGAAACTAGTTTGCTGTGAGCCTGAGGGGGGTTGGAGGGGCATGCTGGGAGGGGTAGGTCATGCTGGCACCTCCCAGCCACCCGCTCCTAATGGCGTGAATGTGGTGGGACTGCTTTTCCGCTTCAACTAACGCACGCCTCCTCCGGGGACCCTGACTCAGGCCCCCGTGGCACAGTGGGGAGGGGCTCAGACCAGCCATGCTCAGGCCGCCTGGGCTGACGCTTTCCCTTCTCCCGGGCCCGCCGGGCTCACGCAGGTACTTCCCAGGAGACCCTGCTGGCCTCTTCCCCACCATTCCCAGCCTGGCCATGCCCTACCCGGGGGTTGGAGGTGCCTCGCCAGCTCTGCTCGTCCCCACCCCACCCGGCTTCCTGCCCCTCACCAGCCAGCAGCTGTTCCGGTCGCCCCGACGGGCCTCACCCTCCTCCCTGCCAGGCCGCCTCCACCGGGCCCTCTCGCTGGGAACCATGCCTTCTCTGACCCGAGCAGGTAAGAGGCACAGACACTGGGCACAGGATCTCTGGGGAGCAGGAGGTGGGAGGTCGTGGGGGTGGGGCTCCTGCCATCAAGACAGGCAGAACTGGGCCAGATCCCAGCGCATGCACTCCGTAGCTGGCCTTGGCCAAGCGACTTACGCTCTCTGAGCCTCAGTTTCCCCTCAGAAAAACGAAGCTGGTAGAGGAACGTGGCTCGGGGTGGTTGTGAGGGTTGAGATGATGTGTTTAAGGCCTGAAAAGGCACTGGCCGCGGTAGGTACCGAGTAAATATACATGGTCGTTGGGGTTTGTCTTTCACTGACGGTCTCACCATTAGTTACTGTTACCACTGCTGTGGTGAGGCGTAGGGGGCTGGAGCCTTCCTGTGAGGTCCAGAAGGACGGGCTCAGTTCAAGTCACTGGTCAGCATACTGAGCACTTCTGCCAGTTGACCCCAGGATGACAAAGACCTGGTCCCTGCCATCAGGAGTTTCCACCTGCACGGGAAGACCTTTGTCTCCCCTCACCTTTCCCGACAGGATCTCCAGGCAGTTGACTGGAAATCAGACCAAGTTTTCAACATACTCTGAGCCCTACAGGTGTTTTGTGGCCAGCCTCTGCCACCTTTGGGAAGCCCCCTAGCGTGGACGGGGTTTGCCCCCATCTCTGGTCGCTGTGTCCCGGGGCTAGCTCCCTGGGTGCCAGGCCTGATGCTGGGGGGCTGCAAGCTGGGATCCTGTCCTAACAGCCTGGGTGGGATCTTGGTCAAACCAGCAGGATGAGGGTTCTCACAGGACTCTGATTGTCCCTGCTTGGGTCACGTGACCACCCTTAGCCCTTCATGTGGAATGGTGTGGTGGGGGAGGGACGACCGTGCGCTGTGGCCAAAAGCCCTGCAGAGCTAGCCGGTGGAGGAGGGCGTGTGACGGCCGCCTGCTCTTCCCTCATTCAGTTCTTGTCTGGCACTTGGGGAAGATGAGACCCACAAGATGGGGTGCTTGTAGTTGGGGTGCACTTGTTTCAAAAAAGGGCATTGTGCTCCATGCTCCCGAGACTCCACACAGCGATGGGGGCTGGGGTTAGTGGAGGAGCGGAAACTCAAGATGGCTGGAAAGCTGGGCCTCACGGGGAAAGAAGGGCACAGAGTGTGGAATCGGAGGACTTGAGTACAAGCGCAACTCTTGTCACTGAGGCCTGCCCTCGGTTTTGGTTTCTTTATCCGCAAAATGGGAGCGATCGTTTGGGCCCAGCTCAGAGGTGGTTTCAGGGGTCAGTCAGAGCCTGTGTTCTCACGAAAGCACGGCGTGAGTGACAAAGGTTGGATTTAGACGGGGCGGTCCGGAAGCCGTGGTGCTGGGAGCAGTTGGGAGGCGCCTAGCGTGTAGGCTGACTAGTCCCACTTTCCTCCCACTCCAGACTCGGGGTATCTGTTCAGTGGGAGCCGCCCACCCTCTCAGGTGACTCGATCCGGGGAGGTTCCTGTTACAGGTAAGGAGAACTGAGAGCTTAGAAGTGGGCGGGGTGGGGGGGCGCCCCAGGTGGAGCAATGTGTCAGGACCAGGGGCTCCGAGTGAAGTGGGACGGATGGTTAGCACATGCTTTGGGGTCAGACAGTCCTGCGACCAAACCCCAGCCTGACACCCCTGGCTGCACAGCCCTGGGCAAGTGACTTGGCCCTCTGTGTCTCAGTTTCCTTGGGAAATAGGAGTGATGGTTGATGCCTGTGGGGCATCAAGCACACCCAGTCAGTATTTGCTGTCATCGTATCGGGGACCCCAGTGGAGGTGCTGCTTCCAGGGGCCTAGGTTAGCTGACCCTATATCTCCAGAGGCTGTGTCTACTTGGGCCCTCAGTCAAGGGAGGATCAGGGGCTTGGACAGAAACTGAGGGCAGGGGGGACGTGATTGAGGCTTCATGAATCCCCTGCCCCTGCTGGGGTGCAGGCCTTTCCTCCTGGTTTCCCCAGATGCCCCTCAGCCCCTCAATAGCCCTACACCGTCCTTTTTCCCTGGGTTAATACACAGAAGCCCCAGGAACATACAGCACACAGTGAGTGTCACGGCAACAGCAGCAAACATCGGGCCTCATTGCCATCACGGTTTGTCTCCCGCCCGCCACAGATTACTTCTCTCTGCTGTCCGGGAGCTGCCCCTCCTCCCCACTGCCCTCCCCCGCCCCCTCTGTGGCCGGCTCCTTGGCCTCCAGCTCCAGCTCCCTGCGCCATCGCAGACCCCTCATCAGCCCTGCCCGGCTCAATCTGAAGGGCCAGAAGCTGCTGCTGTTCCCTTCGCGCCCTGGAGAGGCCCCCAACACACCCAGCAGCTCGGACGAGCCCTCCCCCCACGACGGCAGCCTCTTCACTATCGAGCCACCCCAGGCCACGCTGAGGCCACCCCTGAGGGACACCAAGCACACTGTGGGTATGGCTTGACAGGGTCCTGAGGACCAGGGGCCAGTGGGGACGGTGGGTGGTTGGTATGGGACAGGGCCCTGCTGAGGCCTCACTTTGGTGGAACATGACCTCTGTGTAACCTGGGCCCACGCTGCTCAGCGCGGGTAGCACTGCTCCTGTCCACGCCTGTGCGGTCATTCTCCCAGCCCCAGACAGCCCAATCTGGAGACTTTGAACCCCCTAGGACACTGCCCTCTGCTGGCTGATTGTCTCTTCTTCCTTTACGCTTGGCCTTTGGGTCCTCTGCCCCTCAGGATGGATCTGAAACAGGTCACACACTGCCAGGCTGCGTCAGTGTTGTTCTTTGGAGAAATTTTAAATGTTTTAATCAGGCCTTAGCGTTTAAAATCTATAAATTTTCCATGAATGCATGGACATCCTGTGTATGTCTTCCAGTGTCAGAAGATCTGGCCATTCTGGGCCTGAATCCTGACCAGGCAGGTCAAGGCACCTTCTCTAGCCAGGCCTGTGCTCCCCTGTCCCAGCCTTGCCCCACTGACCGACTCCTCCTGAAGCCCCACTGTTGGCATTTGAGTTTGTCACCGTGATCTCAAAGCACCCGCACTGAGGGAAGTAGGACGCCCTGAAGGAAGGACTGGCCTCCTGTGGGAGCGGGTGGGGACTGGCGCTGGCCACTGTTCCCAAGGCTGGTGTCCTGGGTGAGAGGCGGAGCTGCCCCCCATCTGTCCCTGGGATAAACTGTGAGCACGCACCAAGCCATCCGTTCTCTCTACAGACATGGGAGCAGTACCAGAAAGAGGCCGCGCCTGCAGCAGCCTCTCCATCAAGAAGGAGGACGACTCGTCCCAGTCATCTACCTGTGTGGTGGACACCACCACCAGAGCCGGCTCGGAGGAGGCCGCCACCTGGAGAGGTCTGCACCATGCAGGGGTGGGGAGGAGTTCGCCACCTGGAGAGGTTTGTGCCTTGACATGGCGAGGAGGTCAGGGAAGGCTGCAGGTCCAAAGGAGCCATCAGGTCAGGACCCCACAGGGACTGCAGGTCCTCTAGCAACTGAGGGTGGATTAAATAACCACCTAGCAGACAACACTCCCCGACAGGATTAGGGTCTAGACCTGCCTGTCCATTACAGCAGCCCCTAGCCATAGGTGGCCATTTAAACGTAAATCCATTAAAATGAAAAATCCAGTTCCTCAGCCTCGATAGCCATGCTTCAGATGCTCAAGAGCTGCTTGTGGCTGGTGGCTGCTGTGTTGGACCAGCAGAGAGGGAACACGTTCTTCGTCAGAGAGCGTTCTCGTGGACTGCACCAGTCAGCAGAGTGTGGCCAGCGTGCGGCTGGGCACCTAGTGGCCTGGATTCAAACCCTGCTGACCAGGGCGGGGGGTGAGGTCAGATCAGCGGTTCTGGACAAAGCACCCAGCACGTTGTGAGCACTCGACAGGGTTGCCCACCACCCCCAGTTAGTCTCCTCTTTGGGGAAGCCCCTGTGTTGATGAGGGTGGACGGAGCAACAGAGGGAGCTTTCCTGAAAAGGGTCATTTTGTGCTGAACCTTGAAGCTGGGGCGGCCCCACATGAGGCTGGGAGTGGGGTGTGGCCATCAGGGCAACAGGTTGGGGGCCTGCTGGCCTGGGTCAGTGGGCGTGACCTTGGAGGCGAGACAGTCACTCGCACCCCTGAGCTCAGGCTCCTCATCTGCAGGCATGAGGGTCGCAGCCGCCCTCATTGCTGAGGTGCAAGTACAAGGAGCCCAGCCCAGTGCCCACCCAGTGGTGTGGGGTTGGTAAAGGCTGTGTCTCCAGGGAAGTGGCACTTCAACAAGGGACCATGGGCAGGTCTGGGTGGCCTTTCCTGGTGGGGCGGCCTTTCCAGGTGGGGAGGCCTCTGGGCCAGGGAAGGACATGGGCGAGGCGTCACCCACCTGGGAGGGTGCTCTCACAGCTCCCCGGAGCTGTGTTCCACAGGCAAGCATGTGCACTTACCCAGCTAGCCCCCCACCCACATGTCTCCCATCTCCCCTGAACTTTGCGCCCTTGACTGGGTTTCTCTATTCTTGCAGGTCGTTTTGGTCCCTCCCTGGTCCGGGGCCTCCTGGCCGTGAGCTTGGCTGCCAACGCCCTCTTCACCTCAGCGTACCTGTACCAGAGCCTGCGCTGACCCACAGCCCGGCTGCCTCCACCACTGCCACTGGCCACCTGGGGCCAGAGTGATCGGCAGCCAAGCCTCAGAACCTCCTCGGAGCAGCCATCACTGCCTCTGCCTGCCCCTTGAAGGCCATGACCTCGTGGTCACGGAGAAGAGTGAAGGGAGCGGCTTGCAGCCACCTGCATGGTGGGACCCTCTCCTGCCCCAGGGCACCGCCTCCTCACCCAGCCGACTGCAGGCTTAAGTGGGTATTCATGAGCCACACCCCTCACCCGCTGATTCCAGGGCTGACATCAGGGGTGTGTTTGGTGCTGACACTCTGATTCCTGGGCCCGGGACCCCCAAGGGACTACCCAGCCCTGGGGCCCCTCCCCCCACCATCCAGCCCAGCCTGGCAGGAAGGCCAATGCTACTGTACCTGGAGAGGAGCCGGGAGGGGCCACCCTCCTCCATCCAAGGCCACGGTCACATCCTGGTACTGTACTCTCAGAGCTGCCGCAGGGTGCCTCCGAGCCTCCTCAGAGCCCACTGAGCTGAAGGCTGGGGGCGCGGGGAGTGGTCCTTCTGTCATCACGTCCTCGCCCCATGAACCTGCCCTTGGGCAGGCCCCTTGAGGATGTTGTCCTCCCCGTCCTGCACCTTCCTGCCCCCTGGCTCTGCCCCTCCCCTGGCTGGAGGCTCCTCAGAGCTCCTCCCGGGCCCTCAGGACCAGTGTAACCACCTGCCTGCCCTCTCCTGCCCTTCTGTTTTGTTACCTCTGGTGACCCTCCCAGGAAGCGGCCTCATCAGCCACGAGTGCACGGAGCCCAGGTCCCCGTCCCAGTTATTCCCTTGCTAGACCCCTCAGCCTGCATTGGGCAGCAGGGCTTGGGCCCCTGCCCTTCGAGACTGACCCGCCGTGCATCTGGCTCCTCTCAGCCACTGGGAGCTCAGGCCACCTGGGCTGGCTTTCTTTCCAACCCCATCCCCTTGGCTCTCACCATTGACTTTCTGGCCAATACTGCAGGGTTGCCGCCCCGCCCCCTCTGCTCTCATGTTGGGGATGGTATCCCATGCTGTCCCCAGAGAGGAGGAAGGCAGGGCCTTGGTCTGGCACTGGGACCCTCGAGATGCCGTGAGGAGGGAGGAACAGTGTGTGCGTGTGTGCGAGTGCACGCGTCTGCAGTGCAGATGGAATTGGGCGGCCTCGGTGAATCCTGGGGCTTGTTGAGGGAGGGTCGTGGGGCAGGAGGAAGGGTCTTCACTCTCATTCAGGGATAAAGGTTAATTTTATTTTTGTACACATTTTTGCAGGAAAGGCATTCTGCTGATGAGCAGACGCCCGGTTCTCCCTGCCAGGGAGGTTGCATTTTCTTAAGCTTTGGGTGCTTTTTTAATTGTTTTTTTAATGTGTGAGGAAAGAGATTGCTCGGACTTCACCCTCCCTCATCTTTTCCCATTCCTGTCCCGAGAGCTGCGGGCGCTCTGTCCTGCCTTGCCACCCCCAGAGCGTGGGGAAGGGTCGCGTCGTGCCTGAGTCCAACTGCCGGAGACGGTTCCTCTCGGAGGTGGTGCGTCAACCCCCATTTGTGCGGTGGGCATGTGTGTCAAGTGTTTAAGTTTTATTTTGTGTAACGAGGCCAAACTCCGTTCCCAATGACCTTCCTCTCTGGCTCTGGGAAGTACCCAGCAGCTCCTCCTGCCTGAGATGTCCATCCCTGCACCCCACACCCTGCAGGGGGGACGTGGGCTGACGAGGGAGTGGGTTTTACTTATGTTCTGTTTCAGACAAAAAAACACACCTTATTTTTCTTTACAAAAGCAAAAAAAGGAAACCAAAAAAGATAGCAACCTTTGAACTATACATGAGTCTGTTTTTCTTTGTTCTTGTTTCTTGTGCGACTCCGGCCCCAGAGAAGGCCCCAAGCGGGGTGGAGGTGAGCCCAGCAGAGGAGAAGTGCCTCCATCCATGTGTTTGTTCACTGCAGAGCTCAGGTGGGCACTCAGGTGTTCCGGGCCTCACAGTGGGGTGGCAGGCAGGTGACCGGTGCCGGTGACTACCTGGGAGGAGCTGAGGGTGTGAATGGAGGAGCTGAGCAGCCTGGGGTAGAAATGAGGAACAGGAGCTTGCTGAACAGAGGATGGAAGGGCCCTCGAGACTGAGCAGCCAGGCAGGCGTGCTCAGCTTGTCCCCTCAGAAAAGTCCACCTCACCCAGCCACTCTCACCGTCAGCAGGGTGAGGTCACCCACAAGCTGATCCAGGACGGGGCCTGTGTCTTCCCTGAGCCCACTGGGACCGCCTGTCACCCTGCCAGCCACTGGATGTCCTCAGGTGCAGCGCTGGCCACACCGCCCATGTAGGACCCCTGCCCTGCCAGCCCACCCAAGCCAGGAGGCCTCGCACCTGCACTAGGGGCAGTGAGCTGGGCACCAAGCAAGGGCGGCGCACTCAGGTTTGCGCAGGTGCAGGTGGGCACCAGAAGGGAGGCTCTGGAAACACAGGCCATGCACACCGAGCCTCCTCTGGGCACAAGCACAAGCTCTGGCATCAGGTGGGGTTGGGGTGAAGGTGGGGTTGTGTGTGGGCCTCAATTTAGCTCTCAAATATTAGGACAGCCATCTGGGCTGATGGGACCCGGCCAGGACAGTGAGCAGAGGAAGCTCCCAGCAAATGTTAGCCATGGCCACTCAGCGGGGCAGGCTGCTGAACTGGAGCCCCAGGCAGTCAGGAGGCAGGGTGGGCCGTGGCGCCCTCACCTAGAAGCCAGCCCTCTGGGGTGGGGGCCAAGCTGCAGATGGAGCCACAAACACACCCGTAGATCCCTGACATGCTGCCCCTGGAGGCCTAGCGTAGTTGTATTTGTTATCCAGTGCTGCTGTAACAGAAATACCACCGGTGGGTGGCTTCAACAGACAAATTTATTTTCTCATAATTTAGGAAGCTAGAAGACTGAATTCAGGGTGCCAGCTCTAGAGGAAGGCTTTCTCTGCTGGCTCTGGGGGAAGGTCCTTTCTCTTTTCAGCTTATTTCTTGGTTCCTTGGAGATCTCATGTGCTGTGCCATCTATCTTTTCCCATCTGTACTTGCTTGCATGGTTGATTGTTTAATCTGTTCTTGTATATCTCAAAAGAGACTGACTTAAAATATACCCTACACTAATACTGTCTCATTAACATAACAAAGACGACCCCTTCCCAAATGAGATTATAACCACAGGTATACCAAAAAACCAAGCCTGTTGCCGTCAAGTCGATTCTGACTCAGAGCGGCCCTAGAGGACAAAGTAGAACTGCCCCATAGAGTTTCCAAGGAGCAGCTGGTGGATTCAAACTGGCGACCCTTTGGTTAGCAGCCATAGCTCTTAACCACTGTACCACCAGGGCCCCACCACAGGTATAGCGGTTAGGAATTACAACACATATTTGGGGGACACAATTCAATCCCTAACACCCACATCTTAGATGCCATCTCTCTGACAACTCTGCGGGCGGGCACAGACCCCCAAATGCTTATCCAATGTTAAGATGTGACGAACCCAAGGCAGAAACACAAGTCACATCCACCCCTCATGCACTGCCAGCCCTGTCCCGCCCGACCCTCCTCTCCCAGGAAGGAGACTCATTATCCCAGCTGCGTTGTTTTTGTGAGGATATTTTTTTCCTTAGGTATCTATATTAATGTTTTCTTCTGTGACTTTCTTAGAAAAGGAAGACGTATTTATTGTAGAAAATCTAGAAATACAAGTGAGAGGAAGAAAAAAAGCCCATAATCCACAGCTAAAATAATGGCTGTTTGCTTTTTGTCCTTTTTTTTGCCCCATCTATGTATGTACATATTTATTTGTATGAAAATAGGATCTTACTGTATGTAATATTTTGTAACTTCATTTTCTCACCTGGCAACATCGTGAACACATTTCCATATGATTAAATACGCTTTCTCATCCCTTTTAAACACTTCCTTCCAGTATGTGCCTGAACCATCTTATATTCCCCTACTGCTGAGCCTCTAGAAGGCTGTTGTCAGTTGCTTTTATCATTGGTACCGAGACCTTGGGTGGTGCAAAGGGTTAATGAGCTAGCCAAGAGCCAAGAAAGCAAGCAGTGGGTCGGAAGAAGGGACGGCAGCTTGGCCAGGAGCGGGCAGGGTGACGGAAGGTGAGGGAGAGGGGTGTCTGGTGGACCTCTGGGATCACGACTGGCTGGGTAGGGTGTCCCTTCCTGACCTAGGGAGACTAGAGGGGAGCAGGTGCGGCAGAGCAGCTTGTACATTCCGCTGCATTTGCACGGGAGGTGGGTGGAGACATCTATGGGTCCTGGACCCCTGTGCCCACTGCCTGGAGTGTTCTCCCCTGGTGCTGCCAGCAGGCCCCTCTCAGCTGCAAGTCCACCCCTTTGAGAGGCCTTCTCCAAGGGGTCCCCCATTGTTGTCTCTCAACACCCTGCTGCTCATGACAATTCACTTATAGGCTGTGGTGGTTTTGCAGGACGACTTGCTCACTGCCTCACCCTTTAGAATGGAATTTCCACGAGAGCAGGGACCTGAGCGCATAGTTAACCAAACCAAACAGTTGAAGTGAAGTTGATTGCGACTCCTAGTAACCTCACCTGTGCAGAGTAGAACTGCTCCATAGAGTTTTCAAGGCTGTGAACTTTTGGAAGCAGATGGCCAGGTCTTACCTCTGAGGCACCTCTGGGTGGATTTGAACCACCAACCTTTCAGCTAGTAGTTGAATGCTTAACCATTTGCACAACCCAGGGACTCCTGGCACATAGTTGAAGCTCATGAACTGTTGCATGAACGCATGCAACGTGCAGGTAGATACAGGTCTCAGCTCTGAGGAGAAGTGGGGAAGAGATGCATATTTAAGGTCCCTGAAGGTGGAGGGCGGGTGTGCTTCAAGCTGCAACTTTTGAAGGCTTTGCTTGTGGAGCTGAAGGGAGCAACCTGGGCAGAGCTGAAGAGTAAGAATCGAGGTTTGAGCCCAGCGGAAGCGCTGTGGAAAGGCTTGGCTGATTCAGGGGCCGTGCATATTCCA